AAAAAAAAAAAATGAAGAGCCTGGGCGAGGTTTGGCTGTAAAAAACACCGGCAGGAGCATTTTAAACCCGATTTTCTGTATCCCCTTTTTTAGTTCGCTTCCTTATTTTAATGCAGCCGAAGCCATTCTGGGGCTGTTTTATTTGAAGGCAGTTTTGAGAGAGGACACTGTGGTTTATGGCCACGTGTCAAGTTTGATAGTGTTGTGCCATGATTTAGCAAAACACTCGGAGCACACGTCCACATCCCACTGAATTTGGTAGGAAGTGGAGAAGCAGAGGAAAAGCTGTTTGGCTGTGCAGCAGCCTCATTCAGGGGGGGAAAAAAATCAAAAGTAATTGAAATAAAGCAAGGATTTTTCTCCACACAATTACAGAGCTTTAAGGCCGAATTCTTTCAGCTCGCCATGAACTCATTGATCATGTTAGATGACGATTATGACACGTATTTAATAATTTCAAATTAAGGGTTCTGCACTGGGCTGCCTCAGACCACTGAAATAGATGGGCTAATTCTGGGAGCCGTGGGCGTGCTGGAGTCATCTGATTTTATTTTTTTTTAGCTGTCTCACCCTGCCCCCTCCCCAAACCAGCCTTTCAGACGCGGAGAGAAATCTTCATTGCACGCAGGATTGTCCGGGTGTGCTCATCAGCCTCCTCTAATTGCTGCTCGTTTCCTGAGCGTGGCAGGATCCAGGAGAGCGGGGCCACCGATGGAGTTGGGATGAGGCATGAAGAAAGAGGGGTGTCAGCCAGCAGCTCCCCCGATTTTCTGCCAGTCTGGAGGATGTTTCTGGGTGAAACGCTTGGAAATGGAAAGTTTGGAAAGAGATATGAGTTGTTTGCTTTGCTGGGCGTATCAGGACTTTATATATGCTCACCATAAACATGATGCCATCAAAAATCACATATAATTTATATATACGTTCATATATTTATTTTTATATATGTTCATCTATTTATGTATGCTCATATAATTTATATGTGTTCTCTTTCTAGGTTAAGTATACATGACCTGTCCACCTTGGTCAAAATCCATACAGTTTTGTCATGGATTGATGGAATGTGACACATCCTGATACCATTCCATTCTCATCCCTGCTTTACTAGGAGTTGTTTTCCTCAGGACTGCACATAAATATTCTTACCAATAAACAGCATTGCATCAAAAAGCTCCTTAAACACTTTTGACACCTCTCTCCCATTCTTCCCTTAACACAAACCACTTAATTTTAAATCCTGGGTAACCCTCTGAGGCAAATGTTATAAATTTTGATTCTGTAATTACCCCAGGTTCCCTGCACTCCTTGCTTGAATCTGCAGAGTTGGGACATGAAATCTTTATTTTATTTTCAGTGCCCATCCTCTAAGTGCTTTGGGAATGGAGGATGATGGATTTTACGGCAGCTATGGAAAAATTGGAAATTTTGTTCTTTGTTCCGTTCTGTGCATTAAGGTGAAGGCCAAGGAGAGAAATTGTCATGGTGATCGATATTTGGGGAATAACACCCAGGTAGAAAGAAGCTGAATCGAGCTATAATGACCTGAACACTAACGTTTAATCCTCCCAAATTCACAACTGATGCATCATCTTGCCAAGCAGGATTTTGGTAGGTATTTTCCCCTCTGGCTTGCTGTTGGAAGAACACAAATTTCACTCAAAACTGACATGAAATGGGTGCATTTGGACCTCAAATCTGTTGTTACTTGAAATTCCCTGAAATAAAACTTGTAATTTCCTGAAAAACTGATAATTTCCAGCTTGGTGCACACCAGGAGCTGATGTCCACTGAGGTACCCCAGCCTCATCCCTTTCCACTCCTAGAGGTCTCAAACCTGCGGATTAAGTAGCAAAAATCTGTGAAAAATGCGTATTTTATGATTGGCTTCTCACAAATGTTACAATGAATATTATATGTGTAACGTTAGGAAGTTCTGCTGTATTAATTCTCTTAAGTGGCGTGTTAAATACAGTTTTAGGTTACAACACAACGTTAAAATAGAAACTCTGTGATACAGGATTTGTTACAAGCTCAAGCAGGAGGATGAGATAATCGAGAAACTCTTCACACAGAGATGGCAGCGAAGGGGGCCCATACAAAGTTCCTCCTTCTCAGAAAAAAACAAACATTCTTCCACCTTAAGGAGAAAAGTTCTTAATTTGCAAAGAATTTATGCATCATGTATGAGATACATGAATATGCAACAGGCTGTTGCTTTTATGGTTATTCCTTTGTTCACAAAGTCTGCTTTTTTGTGACTTAGTGTCCGAGAGCATCCAGACATCCGTAATTCTTTGCTTTTTATTGTCTTGCATTTGTCCTAACTCTAAATTTTATTACTCTAATTATATTACTATTTTTATAATAATTTTATTATTACTAAAGTTCTAAAAGATTTTAAAAACCAAGTGATTGGCATTTTTCACACTCTAATTATACTACTATTTTAATAATCATTTTATTATTACTATACTTAAAAAAAAATTTAAAAACCAAGCGATTGGCGTTTTTTCACACTCTAATCACATTACTATTTTAATAATAATTTTATTATTATTAAACTTCAAAAAATCTTTAAAACCAAGCGGTTTTCACACTCTAATTATATTACTATTTTTATAATAATTTTATTATTACCAAACTTCTAAAAATTTTAAAAACCAGGTGATTGGCGTTTTTTCACACTCTAATCACATTACTATTTTAATAATAATTTTATTATTATTAAACTTCTAAAAAATCTTAAAAACCAAGCGTTTTTCACACTTTAATTATATTACTATGTTAATAATCATTTTATTATTACTAAACTAAAAAATTAAAAAAACCAGGTGATTGGCATTTTT